TAAACCCTAAACCCTGAACAAAAAAATCTAAACTCCAACCTTCAAGGCACGCCTTGAGTGTAGCCTTCGGGGGCGCAGTATCCCATGTCCCAGTGCATCGGTACATCGCCGGCTAAGAAAGGAGGTGCAGATCTGGGTTTAGGGGTTTAGGGTTTAGAGGTTTAGGGGTTAGGGTTTAGGGCCCCTTGGGGGGTTTGGGGTTTAGGGTTTAGAGGTTTAGGGGTTAGGGTTTAGGGCTCCTTGAGGGGTTTGGGGTTTAGGGTTTAGAGGTTTAGGGGTTAGGGTTTAGGGCTCCTTGGGGGGTTTGGGGTTTAGGGTTTAGGGCTTTAGGGGTCTAGGGCTTGGGTATCAGATAATGTGCACTTCATCTCATGGGCGGAGATGTTGGAGTCGACCCTAAACCCTAAACCCTAAACCCTAAAGGCGGGCCCGAAGCCCTGAGCTCAGCCTGCAACCCTTTCCGGGGCACCCCGAAGCTCCCCCGAAGAGATGTGGGGGTTTGGGTTTAGGGTCGATAGGGGTTAGGGTCGTTTTTAGGGGTTGGGGGTTTAGGGTTTAGGGGTTTAGGGTTTAGGGTTTAGGGGTTTAAGTTAAAAGTGTTTAGGGATTTAGGGGTTAGGATTTAGGGTTGAGGGTTCAGGGCTTAGGGTTTAGGGCTTAGGGTTTGGGGGGTTAGGGATAGCCGAGGGGAGCGCTTGAAGCTTTTGCACTTTTTTGGGCCCGGCCATGGAAGAAGAGAATATTAACACAAGGACTTAAAAAAAGGTACCTACATGATTCCTGATGGGTTCCTTATTATAAATAGAGCAGAATATGCCCCCACACCCGATTCTAACCATTCAGACCCCTCTATTATAGAACCCCTTACAGCAGCCCTTACAGGACCCTTTAAAGGAACTGGATTCTTCTAACTGTTAAGGCCCCTTGGCAGGTCGGGAGTTCAGAGTTCCCAGAGCCAGGGCAGACCCAACGCCAAACCCTTCAGCCCTAGATCCCTCAAATCCTCCGTCCACCAAACCCTAAACCCTAAACCCCTAAACGGATAAACGCCTAAACCGATAAACCCCTAAACCCTAAACCCTGCACCTTAAACTTTGAAAGCCTAAGCCCCTAAACCCCTAAACCGATAAACCCCCTAACCCCTAAACCCCTAAACCCCTAAACCCTTAAACCCGTAAACCCCCAAACCCCTAAACCCCTAAACCGTACACCTTAAACCCGAAACCCTAAACCCTACACCTTAAACCCGGAACCCAAAACCCTGCACCTTAAACCCGGAACCCCAAAACCCCTAACCCCTAAACCCTACACCTCAAGCAACCCTACACCTCAAAACCCGGAACCCCAAACCCTACACCTTAAAATCCGGAACCCAAAACCCCACTGTCATGTCTTGCTAGGCTCACAACCTTGGTCGCCACGCTGCGGACAGTCTCATGGAGTTGCTGCTCGGCCTGACCCTTTCGAGGGTTTAGGGTTGAGTTTTCAGGGTTTAGGGTTCAGGGTTTAGGGTTCAGGGTTAATAGGGTTTAGGGTTTCGGTTGAGGGTTTAGGGTTGAGGGTTTAGGGTTCAGGGTTTAAGATTTATGCAGAGTATCGACAGCGGGCGGGCGCCATCCTAAATCCTACACCCTACATTTTGGAGTATCTTGGGTTCCATGCTCGTTTAGAGGTGCTTCCAGTACCTCTGTCTTTGGAAACGCCCTCGCCCTCCTGCGATCGTGGATCTGAGGTTCAGAGTTTGAGACTTTGGGGCCGGGTGTGTAGGGTTTTGGATGTAGGGGTTTAGGGTTTGTACGGTTTTGGCTCTAGGGGAAGAGTGAGAGCTCTCCGCTGTACAAAAATCCGCTTGCCCGACGTGTGCACTGTCGTTTTGTCGGGCTCCTTTCATGGCCCAAAAAATTTCAGGGTTTAGGTTTCGGGTTCCTGTACTCGCAGACTTGAAGAAATTTTTGTCCACACATGAACTTAGAAGCACAAACTCACTGCAACCCCACTGCAGGCTGTACATAGCACTTCGGCAATCGCCGACAGAGCGCTTCGCCTTCCTCGAGCTTTCCCAGCAAGTGGAGGCGGGAGAGCTCTAAGGCTGTCAAGCACGGAAGCCCTAAAGACTTCGTTATTTTTAATGCTGGTAATTCTGAAGTCCTGACTCCTTCACCCATCCATATCAAGCCCTAAGCCCTAAGCCGCCCAAACCCCAAACCGTCTTCGGTTGACTTGCATGTCTCGGGTGTTGGTGAGCGTCGAATGTACGTTATCCTCAAGTTTCTTGGGCATTGCATGAAACCTTAGGAGAAGGCCTCCTTTGATCCTATCACTTTGATCCATCGCCCCTCAATCCTTGACTCCAAAACCTTCTTTTTGGACTAAGTTGATCAGTTTTGAGTGCAAAGCAACAGATGTAACAGCAGTGCTTTTGGGGGTGCACCCGACGTGGGCTTAAGGGTCCAGGTAAACTAGCCGCGCAATGTGGTCATAGTGTCCATCGGCAAGCCGCTGCTGCTGTCTAGCAGTTTGTACCCAAGTTGTTTGCATTCAGGGATCTCTTCTTGAAGATTTGCATTCGCCCCATGATAGGCGGGCAGCTCAGCTTCATCTTTCACGATGGTGGAGGACCTCACATGGCACGCTGGCATTGGGTCTCGTGCGTGAGCGGAGAGCTGCCACGATGTCGCCATTCTAAGCCTGAGACCCACCATCGGGAGAGTTCAGGACGAAGTTATCTACCACATCCTGCATATAGAGAAGTGTCACGTGGCCTGGGCCTTAGCCCCTCAGCCGTCACGAGCATCGAAGGTTTCTGGTAGCCCGCTAGACGTAGTTTGACTTGTTTACTAATTTGCTAGAACCCCGGCAGTCCAAACGCGATCATGTTTTTGTTGCAGGCCAGAATTTGCAAGCCCTGAAACTCAAACCTACAGCCGTCATCGTAATCTAGGACATTTTCAGGTGGGTCGTTACCGTTATAGGAGCCTTATAGAAGGTCTATATACCTTATGGAAGCCTTATAGAAGCCCTATATACCCTAAACTCCCCACCTGTAGTTTCCTTCAACCCTAAACCCTAAACTCCCCACCTGTAGTTTCCTTTAACGCAATCCTCGCCGGCCCTATTCTAACTGGAGCCCCCCCGAGGCCGATCTTCTTGCCGACTGCTTCTTGCAACAGCTGCAGTGTGCTGCCGAGTATTCGCAGGAAGCCCAAAAATTCCTAGAGGGTCAGGGTTTGGGGGGTTTAGGGTTTGGGGTTTGGGAGTTTAGGGCTTAGGGTTTAGGGTTTATGGGGGTTCAGAATGTCGGGTCTTCGGGTCAGGGTCAAGGGGCGTAGTCTGAAAGTCTTCCGTCTTGTGGCCCTTCCCTGCTTGCGAAGCCCGTGTGCAATACCCACCTGTCATCTCTTAAGACCGCTGGCTCCTGTTTCATCTAAGGCCATTCCTAAGCCCTAAACCCTGTGTTTTTCAGGCGAAGCCCTTTGGCCCTTGAGCCTTGGGGCCCGGTATCCCAAACCCCAAAACAACCCTGGATCCAAGCCCCTAACCCCTAAAATCCCAGGCCCAAAAGCCATAGCCCTAAACCCTAAGCCCCAAACCCACAAGCCCCCCCCGAAAAAGGAAGCCGTCGCCCAAGAGAATCATGGGGTTATAGGGTGACAGTAGCTATAATTACTTCGAGTCACCATTATGTTGCTCATAACCTTACTTTCTAAGTCCCATGATCTTCAGCCCTAAACCCTAAACCCTAAGCTCAAAAAACCCTAAACCCTACAAGCCCTAAACCCTAGAAGCCCTAACAGCCCTAAAAGCCCTAAACCCTAAAAGCGCTAAACCCTAAAAACCCTAAACCCTAAACCCGAAAAGCCCCAAACCCTAAAACCCCAAACCCTATACCCTAAATGCCCTAGACCCTAAAAGCCCTAAACCCCTTTACCCTATAGAGGAGGACCTCTCGGATCAACTGGACCACGCTGGCCACACTCGGGAGTCCCTGGCAGCCCGTGCACGCGTGCAGCAGCTGCTGAGGATCCTGCCGGGGGGCCCACTGAGGGGGTTTCTAGGGTTTTTGGAGTTTTTGGGGTTTTCCTGAGGGTTTTGTGGTTTAGGGTTCAGGGGTTTTAGGGGTTGAGCTTTTGGGGTTTAGGGTTTTGCGGTTTTTAGGGTTTTAGGGTTTAGGGATTTTTGGGGTTTAGGGTTAAGGGACTTTTGGGATTTAGGGTTTTGGGTTCAGGTTTTAGGGTTTCCGCGAGGATGGCCACTGTGAGGGTTTCGCGTTGGGTTTTGTTACAAGGTATTTTTGAAGGGCTTTGGAAGGGCTTCGGTAGGGCTTCTAGGAGGGCTTTGTTTGGGCTTCTATAAGGCTGGTCTATGAGGGCTTCTATCAGTCTTTTGGCTTCAGTCAGGGTTTCTGCAAGAAACTTCTGCACGGCACGGTCCCCGCAGGGCATCTACGAGGGCTTCTGTACAGATTTCTGCGGGCTTCTATTAAGGCCATTCCGTGATTCCGATCCCCGTCGCCCTAACCCTAAACCCAAACCCTGCACGCATCCGTGTTGCGGTGTTTAAGCACTTTCAGGGAGTTCTTCAGTACTGTCGGTATCCAAAAAACCCGGTGTTTCGGGAGCTTGAAACATCCGAATCGTCGTCCCGGAACCCTGAAAAACAACCCCAGACCCTAAACCTCTGGAAAAAACAAGCCTTAAACCCTTAGGGTTTAGGGTTTAGGGTTTAGGGTTCTGCAAAAAGAAACCTTAAACCCTGGAAGTAAAGCCTTAAACCCTGAACCCTGGCCCTAGCTGACAGAGTTTGATATCGGCCCAGGCACGAACACCTTCTCGATCCTGCGAGGAGCCCGAAAGGCAACACAGGCCCTACTATGGGGGCCGAAATATTTACCTATACTATTTTTGGGGGCTCTCTGTTATAATTATTGTGTAATGGACCTTAATAAGTAGAACAGGGTTTTGGGGTATATTATACTATAACTATATAATCCCGAACCCCCAAAACCCCATTCTAATTATTCAGGCCCCTACATTACGGATTTCTTCGTGGGAAGCGCCGACTCCTTCGGATTTAGGGTTTAGGGCTATTAGGCTTAGGGCTTAGGGCTTAGGGCTTAGGGTTTAGGGTTTAGGGTTTAGGGTTTAGGGTTTAGGGGTTTGGGCTTAGGTGTGTCTAGCGGATTGGGCCGTGCGGTCCAACTCCCACGGACGGAACACCCAAAGGGAAGGCCACCCTAAACCCTGATGTAGGGGCCTCAATAATTACCAATACTATTTTGGTGGTCCTTGTTATAACCATAGTATAATGGGCGCCAAAAGTCTATTCTAGTTATTAAACCCTAAACCCTAAACCCTAAACCCTAAACCTTATTTTAATTATTGAGGCCCCTATATTAAACCAAAAAAAGGGAAAGCCAGGAACCGTCCTCAGGGGGATGCTCCGCATAGGCCGAGGCCGATTTGCGAACTTCAGTTTAGGGTTTAGGGTTTAGGGTCCTCAAGCCTAAACCGGTTTATGGATTGGTGTTTAGTGGTTAGGGCTTGGGGTTAGGGGATTAGGGTTTAGGGTTTAGAGTTTAGGGTTGAGAGTCCCGAAACCTTAAACCCTACTAGTAGCAAAGAATCGAAAGCCCCAACCAGAATCGAACCAAACGCAGAGACAGTCACCGATCACCGGCCAGACGTCCAAAAAGCAAGATCCTGCAACCCTAAGCCCTCAACCCCCAACCCCTGAACCCTCCGCCCTAAACCCCTAAACCCCTAACCCCAAGCCCTAACCACTAAACACCAATCCATAAACCGGATCCTAATAATGCATGGGTATGTGGGGGCAGGTCTACTGCCCAGCACTGTGCACAGCCTGGGCGATGAGTCCCGGCCGGACTTTTCTGGGCATTTCTCTTGGTGTAGGCTTGGAGTTTAGGGTTTAGGGTTTCGGGGTTAGGGTTTAGGGTTTAGGGTTTTGGATGGAGTTTTTTTAGCTCCGAGGTGTAGCGAGTTGCGGATGAGGGCTTCAGGGTTAGTTTAGGGGTGTTTATGTAGTAGGACATCAGTCGGCTAGAGATAGCAACCCTGGCCCTAAATCCCCAAACGCGGATCCCTTTACAAAAGCACTCAAGATAGAACCCGATAGAGCCTTGGTACAACCTTTACAAAACCCCCCTGAAGCCATGGGTTGTTTCGCACGCAGGAGACGCGGCTGGCCTTCGTCGAGCCTAAACCCTAAACCCTACAAGCTTTAGGGGTTTAAGGTTTAGGGTTCAAGGTTTAGAGTTTAGGGTTCAGGGTTTGGGGTTTAGGGTTCAGGGTTTAGGGTTTAGGCTTTAGGGTTCAGGGTTTAGGGCTTAGGGTTTAGGGTGTAGGAAACCCTACGAACTCAGGAGACGTGGCTGGCCTTCGTTGAGCTGCATGGCCTCTACTGCCTCCTCGCGGCTCTCCTCCGTCGGGCTGCCATCTGCTTGGAGGCGCAGAGACGGGTTTAGGGCCGAGGAGTTTGGGTATAAGGCTGAAGGGAAGGGCGTCGGGTATGGGGTTTAGGGTTTCGAGTTGAGGTACGAACTGTGGGACCCAGAAATAGACCCTAAACCCTAAACCCCTAAACCCCTAAACCCACTAAACCCCTAAACCCTAAA